TCTCTCTCTCTCTCTCTCTCTCTCTCTCTCTCTCTCTCTCTCTCTCTCTCTCTCTCTCTCTCTTTTGTTTTTCAAGACAGGGTTTCTCTGTGTAGCCCTGGCTGTCCTGGAACTCACTCTGTAGACCAGGCTGGCCTCGAACTCAGAAATCCGCCTGCCTCTGCCTCCCAAGTGCTGGGATTAAAGGCATGCGCCACCACTGCCCAGCTTAGTTTTTATTTTTAAATGGTGTTTATTTTGTGGGGTGCACACATCAAGGTCAGAGGACAGCATGTGAGAGTCAGTTCTCGAGGCTGGAGAGATGGCTCAGTGGTTAAGAGCACTGAGTCCTCTTCCAGAGGTCCTGAGTTCAATTCCCAGCAACCACACGGTGGCTCCCAACCATCTGTAATGGGATCTGATGCCCTCTTCTGGTGTGTCTGAAGATAGCTACAGTGTACTCACCTACATAAATAAATAAATCTTTTAAAAAAAGAGAGAGAGAGAGTCAGTTCCCTCCTATCCTATGATTCTGCAGATGGAACTCAGAGCCACCTCACCCCTGCACGTGGTCCTTTTGTTCTTATGTCAGAAACAATGCCTCTAAGTGTTTTCCCGACACACACCTTGTCGTATTAGTCTGACATTTTCTGTCATGCGTGGTTACAGTTTAAATAGTTCCAGCTGTCGGGGACCAGGGTCAATGCCTATAGCCAGGGCCTAGCTTGTAGTATTTGTTGAGGGAGTGAACTGGGAGAGCTAGTGTGAGAAGCGTGACTGGGACCCTGTTTTACGCTGCTCAGGAGGCAGGCAGCCCCTCCCCCAGCGCGCGCGCGCACACACACACACACACACACACACACACACACACACATACACAGAGTCAGGGCTCAAACTCTTCCTTCGCCCATTTGGCTTTCCAGTGCCTTCTGAGGGCTCCACCCAGTTCCTTTGTTTTCTTCATACTTGAAAATATTTTGGTGAAGTCGAGCTGGAACCAGAGCAGTAATTCCTCTATTTGAAGTGAACGCCCCAATGTGGCACATGGCCAGCTGCCTTCTGGGTGGCACAGGAACAGTTGGTGGCAGCTGGATACAATCAAGTTCCATTACAAACACATTTTAAGTGCCATTCATACACGCAAGAAACTGCATGCTGTAGCAAAATAA